CTCTTGTCTCTCCTTTTTTATTTTATTTAATTAACATTTTTCATTTATTTTACATACTAATCACTGTTTCCCCTCCTTCCTCTCCATCCATTCCCCTCTCTGGGACTACCATCTATGCCCCTTCTATCCACACCTCCTCCACCTCTATTCAGAAAGGGGCAGACCTCCCATGGGCTTGAACAAAGCATAGAATGTCAAGTTGAGACAGGACTGAGCTCCTCCTCCTCATGAAGGCTGGGCAAGATAACCTAGTATGGGGAACAGTTCCCCCAAAGCCAGTCAAGTGCAAAGGACTGGTCCCTATCCCACTGCTAGGAACCTTACAAATAGACCAAGACACACAACTGCCTCACACATGCAGGAGTCAGTCCCATGCAGGTTCCCCAACTTCCAGTCCACAGACACGTGCTCCCGGAACTTAGGTCAGTTATCTCTGTGGGTTGCCTGGTTGTGACCTTGACGTCCCTGGCTCCTACAATCCTTTCTATCTCTCTTTTACAGGACTCCGGGAGCTCAGCCCAGTGTTTGGCTGTGAATCTGCTTCCATCAGTTACTGGATAAAGGCTCTCTGAGGACAATTAGGGTAGTCACCAATCTGATCACAGTAGATGGCCAGTTCAGACACCCTCTCCACCACTGCCAGGAGTCTTAGTTGGGGTCATTCCTGTGGACTCCCAGGAGTCTTCTTGTCTCTTCTTCCTCCTCCCCATCCTCATCTTCTGCTCACATAATTTCCATGTTTTTTATTCAAAGACCATCAGATAAGCAACCCTGTTTTGTTATTTCACCCACAAGTCTATTCCTATTCACCCAGGCTAGGGATAGCAGAGTCAGGCAGGAGGAATGTTTCCATCCAAATACAGCAGACTTACCGGAGCCATTCACAGGAGCATGGGTGACTTGGGCAGCTCTGTTCCTGCAAAGTCCATCCCAACATGGGTGAGGCCTCATAAAACTGGCATCCCTGGAAATTCGTGGATATCTTCCAGGCAGTTCCACTGACCAGCTTCCTCTCCTCCATCAACTGTTTATCTCTACTAGAACCTCAGAGGGAGCCCCCAAGAGTCTTTCCTCTAAGTTTTCTGTAGTTTTCATGAGCCTCCTCCCACCCCACAGGAGAAATAGTTCAGTGTGGAGCTTAACAGCTAAGTGACACTGAGGTTATTCAAGCATCTTACATTGCTCCAGGCACAAGGAGAACACACATTATAGGCTCAGAGGTCAGAGGTAATCCACACCAAGTAAAAGTATGTTCTGGATGATGTGTGTTCATCACCCTTTATTAAACTCCTAGGCCCCTTGTATCTCAGATGTGGTTGCATCTTTAATGAGATGACTGAAGGAAAATGAGGCCCCAAGAGTGGACTCTGACACAACTGGAGTCCTTGTAAAAAGCAGTTAGGGACCAGTGACATGACTCATCAGGTCAAGCTGCTTGTCGCCAAGTCTAATGACCTGAGCTCCGTCCTTGGGACCCACAAGGTTTTAGGAGAAAACAGACCAAAGACTGAAGGGACTCTGGCCAGCTTGAGCTTGGCAAGCATGGCTCTGGCAGGCCTTGCCATTCTCTCCTGTTCCCTTTGCCTTGCTAAAAACATTTAGATTACGTTCGAAAATCTAGCCCCACGGTCTATTCCCTCCTTTGGACTCTTCCTTCTCCTGAGGCTGACTACCAAGGTCCAGCTATTAAAGTTTTGAAGTCTAACAATAAGAAGCCCCCTTTGGCTAACTAATTAACATGCCCATTAAAAACTGAACATCTTACCTTAACACAGGGTTTCCCATTTTACATTTATAAACCACCATTTGTCTATGTCCCATGTCTGTTTCCTCCCTACCCAGAGGCAGTCCTTTGTCCTTGGGAACAAATACCCCTGTCCCCTTTCCCTTGTTCCCTTCCCCTTCTCCCTGGTCATCTGTTTCCTGGTTTTGGATTTTGTTTGTTTATTTTATTTTATTTTATTTTTGTTTTTTGAAACAGTGTTTCTTTGTAGCTTTGGAGCCTGTTGAACTCCTAGAGATTCCTGTCTCTGCCTCCCAAGTGCTGGGATTAAAGGCGTGTGCCACCGTCGCCCAGCTTGTCTCCTGATTTTGTCTCTTATTCCAAGCTATTTGTCCCTCTGGGGCAAATAAATCTCCTTTGGGCTGAGAACTTGGTTTTGGGATTCCCGATTGGATAATTTCCTTTCACAGACTCCCACATACTGTTTTCTGACCTCCACATACATGTTATGACTTGTGTATACCCATATGTTATGTATTTGAGATATATATATATATATATATATATATATATATCTCAAATGAATAAATATAAAAATAAATAGGGCCTATAGAGTTAGCTCAGCAATTTAAAAGTCTGACTGCTTCTTCTACAGAACCTGAGTTCAGGTGTCAGCACCCATATCAGGTATCTCACATTCACCTGTATCTCCAGCTACAATTTTTTCTGGTTGGGCACCAACAACATGCACACACACACACACACACACACACACACACAAATACACAACCCCACCACACCACATGCACACACACATACGCACCACACACAACACCATACTACATGCACATACATACAACAGGCACAACACCATACCACACCACACACACACACACACACACACACACAAATAGGGAGGGGATAAAGATAAAAATTTTAAGTTGGAGGGAGGGGACTTGGTTGGAGCAAGAAAAGCCAAGGGGAAATGCTGTAATGCATTTTAATAAAAAATATAACTAGGAGAGAGATAGGTCTGTGGTTAAGAGCACCTTTCGCTCTTGCAGAGGATCTGGGTTCAGTTCCCAACACCTACCTGGTAGCCATCTGTAACTCCAACTACAGCCATCTGTAACTCCAGTCCCAAGGGATCTGAAGCCCTCTTTTGACCCTTGAGGGTCAGAAAAAGGTGTGATGTAGTGTACATACCTCATACACAAAGCTCCTAAATTTACATGGCTGCGCATTAGTGCTAGCCTAGCATGTGCAAGGCCTTGCGTTCAACACCAAGCTCTTCACAAATAAAACATGTTGGTGTAAGCCTATAATGCGAGCATTTGGGAGGCAGAAGCAAGAGGATCAGAAATTCAAGGCCATTCTTGGCTACACAAGGCTAATCCAGGCACCAAAAGACTCCGTGAGAAAGAAAACAAAAACAAAAACAAAAAACCAAACAAACCAAAAACAAAGAACCCAAACAAACAAAAAACAAAGAAGAAGAAAAAAAAAGAAAGTCTCATGAGATTTGGATTTACTTGGTGTGCTGGCTAGTTTCATGTTCACTTGACATGACCTAAAGTCACCTAGATGGGGGAAGCTTAGTTAAGAAAAATGCCTTCATAAGATGTGCCTGTAGGCAAGCCTGTAGGACATTTTCTTAGTAATTGATAGGGCAGGGTCCAGTCCATTCTGGTGATGCCATCCCTGGGTTGGTGGTCCTGGGTTCTATAAGAAAGCAGCCAAGTAAGTCAGTCATGGGGAACAAGCTGGTAAGTAGCTCTTCTCCATGGCCTCTGCATTAGCTCCTGCCTCCAGGTTCCTGTCCCATTTGAGTTCTTTCCCTGACTTCCTTTGACGATGAAGAAGAAGGGGTAAGTAAAAAACCCCTTTCTTCCTCAAGTTCCACTGGCCATGGTGTTTCATCACAGCAATTGTAACCCTGACTAAGACATTTGGGTCACTATTCTCTTATATTTTATTAGCTTTGTTACAAAACCTTACAAATAGAAAAATATCACGTCAAAATTAATCAGACCCAAAGTCTACACATCTCAGCGTATTTCTACACAAGTAAAGTAGCCATCAGGAATGGAAGTTGTGGAGCTTCGTATTGGACTTGAACTTTCACCGTAGAATATATTTTTATGCACTTATCCTCCACCCCAAACTAAAAATCTGTAACAGAGTGAGGAGTAGATAAAAGGAAACAGGCTAGCTATACATCGTGTGTGTGTGTGTGTGTGTGTGTGTGTGTGTGTATGATTTGGTGTGTTAGATGTGCCAGGCAAGAAGTCATCATTTAGATGGGAAAGAGTTGTTTGGGATCTTGTGTACATCCTAAGAATCAACTGCATTAGTTATTTTTGTATCCCTGTGACCAAACTATCTGGCAGAAACAACTGAAAGGAGAACAATTTATTCTGGCTTGGTGACCGGAGGGTTTCAGTCCATTAAGGCAGGGAAGACAAGGTGGAGGTCAGTGCCTGGTGGCTGGAGCACGAGGCAGAAGCTGTCCCACAAGTAGATCGGGAAGCAGAGAAAAAAATGGGGTCAAGTACAACCTTGAAGGGTCTGTACCTAGTGACTTACTTCTGTCAGTCAGACCCCTCCTAAAGATCCCACCTCCCTAAACAGCGCCACCAGCTGAAGATAAGACTTTACAACAAGAGCCCTAGGGGCTGTGGGTGCATCTTAGATTCAACTCATAAAACCATTTTGTGGATTAGTTGGAGTACTGCTGTGTCTGCCATGACGTGCATTTGATCTGTCTTGGCTAACATGACTCATCCCTCCTTCCCTTCCTTCCTCCCTACCTTCCTCCTTCCCTGCCTCCCTCCGTCTCTTCCTCCCTCCCTTCCTTTCTTCCTATCTTCCTTTCTTCTTTTTCTTCTGTTTCGAGACAGAGTTTCAAGTAGTACAGTCTGGTTTCCCTCAACTTTACTATATTGCACTTCTAATCCTCTTGCCCCCATCTCCTGAGTTCTGGGATTACAGGTGTATATTACCACACCCACTTTTATGTGGTGCTGGGGCTCAAACCCAGGGCTGCATGCATGCTAGGTGATTGCTCTCCCAGCTGGGTTACATCCTCACCCCCCTCCTCATTTTCACTGGAAAACAGCATCCCAGCCAGGTGCCACTACCTATGTCCTGCTTTTCCTTTTTTTTTTTTTTTTTTCAGACATGACTTCTCTAGGGTTGGAAGATTTGCAAAGACTGTTTATCACCTTCAGCTTGGCCAAGAAAATTTGTCTCAGTTGCTCCATCTCACCTTTGGCAGGAGCATCACAAGGGATTAAGGATGGCTCCCCTGTGCAGAAGGCATCTGCAAATGAAAAAGAAAACTTGGATGACGTCAGGACTCTGGCTAGGAGGAGTTCTGATGTTCCTTGAATCTGTCTTCTCCACGGTGCTTCCAGTTCCTGTGAGTGCCGCGATAACTCTTACTGTCCTGCCCTGCCCCTTTATGCTCTTGTTTACCATGACTCCCCTGGGGCCAATCTTCCCCTCAGGCAGCCTTCTGGCTGTTCTCATTTCTAGGCAGCTTTCTCTTTGCCAGACATAGACTCTGCAGCATCGAGCCTTCTGTGAGCCCTGCAAAGGTGACCTGGTCTAATGTTCACAATGGCATCCTTCCAACTCCAAACACCAGGGATGCACATCCTTATCTCTCATTTCACTCAGGCATCAAGATGTTTTAAAATACAGATAAGATGAAACCAACAGATAAGAAGAGATTGTCCATTGAAGGGTAGCTTTTTATAGACAAAGGGATGTGCAATGCCACACAAAAATACCCGGGGAAGCACAAGGCCAGTCAAGAGGCACTGAAAATAAGGGGAATTCATGAGTGAGATACATTATTGTGTTTGTGAAAATCAATTTTAGAATTAATTAACACTAATAGTTTCAGTGTCTTTCAAGATAGGGTGCCTTTAAAACCTGGTATCTGTCTTGGAATGCTGAGGACAGAGAATAATTACCCAAGCCATGACAGGCTCAACAGAGGAGTGGGGGGGATGATGTGTGTGGGTTTGGTGGGTAGATTCTAGATTGTGTGGTCTGCATAGGGAAACCACAATCACAGATACATCAACCAGGTTTAGTTAGAGGAACAAAATTGACAGAATGTTTTTTTTTTTTCATTTTGGTTTTTTGAGACAGGGTCTCAAGAATGGATGTCATATAGTGACTTTATTGGATTGATTGACACAATAGGGACTGCGTAGTCCAACAGTGACTGTCTGAACATTAGAGAGGATGAGAGCCCAGAAGCTGCTCAGTCCACAAAGCTAGATGCTTCAGCTGTCTTTGTTTAAAATTACTGTATCAGTGTTCTAGCCTCTATGTGTATCTGGATCCTGGAGTTACAGACAGTTGTAAGCTGCCACATGGGTGCTGGGAATTGAACCCCGGTCCTCTAGAAGAATAGTCAGTGCTCTTAACCACTGAGCCATCTCTTCAGCCCCTCTTCAGCTGTCTTACTCTAATGTTGAAGGCCTAGAGAATTTGTGGAGAGCCACTGACCTTCAATCCACATTGGAAGGCTGAAAATCTGGGTTCTGATGTCAGCAAAGGATGGTTGGTGGCAGAGGCAGCAACCACAGTGTAGATACACTCACCAGCAAAGGCTTAAACAGACAGGCAAGACCCAGCCTGCTTTTCTCTCAGGACTTTATCTGAGCAGCATAATGTAAAGTTTATTCTGGGCAAGAGCTTCCTCCTCCTAATGCTTCTAGGAAATGTACTCGGGATGCTTACTTTTACTTATCAGCTTGACACAATCTAGAATCGCTTAGGAAAGGTGCCTCAATAAGGGACTGTCTAGATTATCCTGGACGACAGGCATGTCCCTGAGGGGTTGTCTTGATTAATGTGAAGATCTGACCACTGTGGGTGGCATCAGTTCCTGAGCAGATGATCCCGGATTGTATAAAAATGGGGAAATGCCTTGAGCGCTAGGGTTCACTGCTCTTTGCTCCTGACTGTGGTTGTAATGTGACTGGCTGCTCCAAATCCCTGCTGCCTTAACTTCCCCATGATGGACTGCAGCCTGGAACTGTGAGTCGAATGACCGCTTTCTCCCTCAAATTGCTTTTGTCAGAACATTTTTTTTTATCATAGTCACAGGAAATGTCCTGCCTCAGACAGGTGTGTCCCTTAGTGGAGCCCAGGAGCAATCAATCAAGTTGACAACCAAGATTAAACATCATAACAGATGAGTTGTTTAACATGTGATAACGTATCTAGAAAAGCCCTTTATAGAGTTTTCAACACCTCAAGTTGTCAAATCACAAACAAGCAAACATATAGACTGATAATACAGGAGTCATGTGCTAAGCCTGTTGGTCAGGAATCCACGGGCTTTGAAGAGATACGTGTACTTCACTGTCTTAAATGTAGATGACTTTCTGTAAGGTATTAGGTTTGCAGTAATTTACTGCAGAGATCATGGCTTAGGAACTTGAAAGTAACCTTTCCCAGGATTTTAGCCTCTAAGATACTTACTAGCTCCTAAATATTTCTATTTTGGCCTTAAACAACGGGCACACTGAATACTGACATCTAGTGGTACTACCCAGAACTTCAATGAGCATCCCTTGCAATTTGGCAGCCTGCTTGCTTCTCTTGGAATGTTTCAACCTCAGATGTGGAGATTTGGGAGACACTTTTGTTAGGAGTTCCCTGGGATCCTTCCTTTTTGAGTTATAGAAGTCGTCTCTAGACTGGATGGTTTCCATAGGGTCGTCTAAATATACTCCTTTTTGTCTTGTTTTTAGTTAATTTGTTATCGGACAATTTCCTACATGTTTATATCACAACATGGTTGTCTTTATTCCCACATGCCCTCTCATCTCCCTCCCACCCTTGTTAAATTCCCTCCTCCCTATAGATCCCTTTCTCTCATTCATGTCTTTTGGTTTTGTTTGGAGACTCAGAGTTTAACTATTGGTGTCTGTGTCATCATCTGCTTGGAAGTATCCACTGGAGCCTGGTGAACTCGCCAGCAAGTCCAAAACTAGAGGCAATGACTCCCTTTCTCCAAGATTTTATCAATAGCCAATAGCTCAGCAGAGATGGTGTGAAATTTACAAACTACAGCATCAACTTGCCTGGCACAATTAGTCCCCTAGTGGCACAGAGGCACGACTCTTACTGGGATAACCAAGCACTCTCTAATTAGATTTGAGATATGCTCCATGGGAGGAAATCCATGCTTGCTACTGTAAATCTAGTCAGAAACACTGGCTAGCGAACTCATAGGCTCTCAGAGGGAACAAGGTACCATTTTCAGCTAAGTTGACGTAGCATCACACTACCTTCTAAATATATTTATACCCATATATAATTGTTACTCAACCTTAGCCAAAGAACCTTGTCTTTGTGCAACCAACAGTGGTGAATGCGGCAACTCATGGCTGAATAGATGCTGAGAATTAGCGACAGTTGAGCTCATTGTTCAGCAAGATATACCTTTCCCTCTAGGGCCTTGGTTCTCAATCTTCCTAATCCTGTGACCCTTTAATACAGTAATACAGACATTTCTCATGTTGTAGAACCCAACCATAAAATTATTTTTGTTGCCAATTCATAACTGTAATTTAGATATTATTACAAATAGTAATGCAAATATTTAATAAGCAGGTTATCTGACATGTGAGCACGGTGAAAGCCTCCTTCGACCCTGAAAAGGGTTATGACCCACAGGTTGAGAACCACTGTTCTAGACCTTAAGGATCATTAGATGAGGAGGCAAAAGAACATGAGAGGCAGAAGATAAGGCCATTATATACCATCTTCTGAGTATGACACACCCAATATATCATGAGCTTGGAGTAGATTGTGCAGTAGAGTCTTCACAAGACTGGTCTTGTCAATAGACAGTTCTGGATGGGGAAGAGTCTCAGGGGGCCTCTATATTTAACTTTCCTGCTCGACACATTCTGTGGGGTGCTGCAAAGAGCTGCTATGAATCTGTCTTCTCTAGATGGGAAAAATGAGTGGGGAAATTCTAGAATGTTCTGAACGTTGTCTTTCAGGCTTCAGCTATCTTAGTATATCCTTGCATAGTGAGGAGAGCAAAAAATGGACGGAGAGAAAGACAGAGAGAGAGAGAGAGAGAGAGAGAGAGAGAGAGAGAGAGGTCTTGTTTCAGTGTCTTTCCCACCATATCAAACAGGAATGCTATTAGGGAGGTTTAAAACCAATCACCCCAAAATGTATCGCTTATAATGCCGTTTCATTCATGTTTGGGATTAATGATATAAATTTATTGTTTTGCCAGAGGAGAGTGAGAACACAGCCCTCCACTACCACAAGTATGCAGTCAAGTTTCCCAAATTTGGGGAAATTGCAGGGCTAGCACATCTGGAGTGTAATGGATAAACTTCACCCTGGGGAAACCACGTGTGATCATGGTATCTCCTTGGCTACATAAGTATCATGACATAAATTTCAGATATAGAATTCAGAAGAGACTGTGCCCTTCTCTTGGCTCTGGATGTAGTGGTGGTAGGTTGGGAACAACACAGTTCTCCCCATGTAACTATACATGTGGAAAGAATGGCGATAGAACATGGATATGGAAGTCTGATGGGGCACAACGAGGGAGACCTTTTATTTAGAATAACCAGGGGAAGTCTTTAAAAAGTTTTCTTTATTTTTTAAAAATTGACTTATACATGAGTGTTTTGCCTGTATGCATGCGTGCATGTATGTATGAGCACCATGTGCGTGTAGTACCTACAAAGGCCAGAAGGCATCAGAGCCCCTGAAACTGGCGTTATCAAGAGTGAGTCACAATGAAGGTCCTGGGAACTGAACCCATGTCCTCTGAAAGAGCAACATGTTCTCTAAACTGCTGAGCCACTTCTCTAGACTCCAGGAGAGGTGCTTTGAGGTCGAAACAAAAGGTGGTATAGGGAGCATGAGAAGAAGCTATAGCTAGTGGGTGTCAGCAGTTGCAACCAAAGACCCAATGCAGGGCTGAAGACTCTGACAGCATTTTGGTAAGGGCTAGTTGGGTGAGCTGGAGAATTGCTAAAGCATAGATCTGGGAGCAGGCAGGGTGAACGCCGCAGTATTCTAAAGTATGGTGGCTGGGAGTTCAGAGTATATTTTCGGGCACCAGAAGCTGCTGGGGTGATTCCAAGCACAGCAGTAAGATTCTGAATGGAACTTGGCAGGAAATGTGTGTGGGCTTTGCTGCAGATGCGTTAGCTCCAGCAGGTGAGATAAAAAAATTAAATCATTTTATTTATAGCATGACAGGCGTGCAGGCATGGAGCAATTTGCCACCAACTAAGGAGAAAGACAGTAAAACCTAACAGTTCCTGGATTTTAAAATGTACA